CAAAAAAAACGGGACTCCTCCTTTCTTGCGGAAGTCCCTCTCAAAAAAATGTTCATTGGAGTAAGAAATGGGCTTCTTCCTCCAAGACGCGCTTGAAAGAGGTCTGAGCTGAGCTTTCAAGCTATAAAAAACTAATTCTACAATGGTGGTTGGGATTGAAATCTCCTCGTAGCCATTGCAGCTGAGCCTGTGGAGCAGAAAACGGCAAAACTAGTGAGTGGGGTGAAAGCTGTACTGCAAGCCGTGCGCAAAACGGCCGCCACGATGCCCGATGAGCTTCTGATCTTGTTACTTACGTCAGCAGGAAAAGGTACGTGCTCCGATCTCAAGCGAGGCACAAAACTGTTAAGCCCCCAATGGAAGGCAACACAGAAATGGGACCATAACGTCGACCGCGAAAAGTCGTCATCACGACAACGTAGTATTGTTTCCAGACACATCCTGATAACTTACCTAATCAAGAGACCCCTCCCACGTCAAGGGAAAGCTTCCTTCCACAGATTCCACACCAGTGACATACAGTCAATCTTCAACATGTGAAGATCCGTGGATACCCATGTTGTTTTCCATTATAGTAGTTTCCATTATCCCAATAAACCCTAAACCCAGTAGTTTCCTTTCTATTTTCCATTATAGGGGAATGAGCACCAACCATCTTGTGGCTCACAACTCAACGATTAGATTCGAGGCTTAGTGGACAGGAAAAAATGTCCTGCACGTCATAGACAGTGAAGAAAAGCTGCTCAAAGGGGACTGGAGTTTCCTGCGCAGCATGCAATTTCAACATACCTGCAAGCATAGACTTGGGCTCATGAATATCAAATACTATTTCCAATTACTATTACCACTACCACCACCACCACCAATTCTTGTCCCACGCCCTAAACCCTAAACCCTAAACCCTGCCTGCCTACATCACAAACTGCAGCTTGGGACCTCAAAGTCCACTAGGCGCAGCCGCAGAGCTACGGAGCTTCCCAAGGCAACCTGAACATGGCTGAAATTCGCAGGAGCCCATGTCATGTCTGCACTTACAAAGCTATACAGATATGTATATTTATATGCATGCAACTATATATGCTCATAGACATGTAAACCTATCATGCAGAAACCGATAAATAATACAAAAGTTCTGAAAGGTATTTGGGCTTGCGAATTGCCGGAAGAAGGTTTGCGTTGCGGTTCTAGGGCTCGATAGCCTCATGGGATGTATGAGGCCTGCACAGACCTATAGGGCACTAAACCCAACTGAGCTAGCTCTAGGGCGTAAGGCTTAGGGACTAATGATTTGAGATCATGGTTTAGGCGTGTACTTTTGTTTTCGGTGTCTGGTGGCTAAAGCTTGTGCATACTGCACTAGGCCATTAAGGCCAGCTCGTATGGCAGAAAGCTTCCTTTTCAGGGCACAGGATATTTGAGCAAAACACTTGTTAGTACGGATTGAAATCCTACTGGTGGTATATCTGCTTTTTCACACATGCCCCATGGACACGCAAGGCAGAAGATCCAAGCTCCAGGCATTGACTGGAGCGGCATTGTGGACGCTGCCGATGAAGCCGTTGAGCACTGAGCGTCCTTTCCCCGCTTGCTCAGGTTGAGTTGGGACTGCGGGTGCTTGTAACCAGGGGCAGACTTTAAGGACTTAACCAGGCAACGCAATAGTCTGGGTTGCTGTTAAGGAACTTAAATTAAGTTACCATACTGGGTACATATAGTAAATAATAGGGTTTCCCCAATATAGTAACTTAATTTAAGTTCCTTAACAGAACCCAGTAATGTATCCATGACCTTTCCTGGATGGTAAGAGCCGTGGGCGATCTCAATCACCTTGCAGCTGGGGGGTGGTCAAAGGAATCAAGACATGAGCCATAGTCTAAACTCCTAGTAGTCCCCCTTAAGAACCCATATAGTAGTTCCCTATATAATCCCCCTATATAACCCCCCTTTAAGGAGCTTAGGCTATGGCTCACATCATGCTGTTGGCTGTAGGAAGTCAGCTTCCCTCACGCTGCACTTGCTGGATGAACATGCTTCAGACCCAGGGCTGGCAGGAACTTGCAATTCCGGATGTGTTGGTCGTAACTGTCATCACCACGCCAAGCCACAGCTAAGCCTATGGTCAAATCACTACATCCCTATGATCCCCCATACAACGCCCCCCTTAGGGCGTTTAGACTCTAGCTCATAGTGTCCACAACAAACTGTGAATGACCCAGCTTGGGAGCCCAGCGAAGTCTACCTTCCGCGACCCCTTGCGGCACACCTGCACATGCAGAAGGTTCATTAGGGTTTAGGGTTTAGGGTTTAGGGTTTAGGGTCTAGGGTTTAGGGTTTAGGGTGGAGGTTCAAAGTTCAAGGAAATGTTTGGTAAGAGATATAGTACGCACCTGGACTGATAGGTCAGAACCTGTGGAGCTACCTGGCCACCAGTGCCAGCAAGCTGTACCGCAATCCCTGAAGACATACTTGAAGCCATCTTGGAGTTAGGAAACATGCTATATATCCTTCTTAAACGGTTATAATCCATTACCAACTGTCATCAGTAGGTTCCGTAACCTTTTAGTAACCCTGGGACCCACAAAGAAGGAGGAGGTCTTCCGTAATCCCCTGAAGGCATTTGGGTTATGGGTGGTAATGCAGCAGCCAGGAAGAAAAACTCTTGATCGCAAGCTTCGTGAGAGCATGTGCTAGTCATCCTTATTAGGACCTACAAGTCGGTTGATGTGGGCCTTTATTTAGGGGGCTCCACAGAAGTTACATAGGATTACATAGGCTTATGTGAGGGTTTTATGGGGGAATTATATAAGAGACATCCTGACAGAAACTTTGCTTGAATGTTAGGGAGCTGAAGGAATCGTTCCTGCAGAGGGCTCCGTCGAGTCTACTCTTCAGAGAACCTCATATCACTGAGTCGGACCAGAACCAGATCTCCCAGAATAGATGGACAGCTCTCTTCTAATACCATATTTGGGCTCAAGTTATCATCATGCCATGAAACCTCCCATTTGTTGATACAGCATTCATGTGCTATGAGACTTGAAAGCGTGCTACTGCCTTCTTCTACAAGCTCGATTGGAGGACAGGACCTAAAACAAGTGTACCACTTGAGAAATGTTCAAGTCCCTTTGTGTCACATGCCATATACATCCTGAACCTTAACCCCCTGAACCCCTAAACCCCCTCCCTGAGCCTCTCTGTAGCGGATGACGCTGGGCTCGTCCAAATGACCAGGTCCACGTGCACCCAGGTTATTGTACACGAGCTTGGCAAGGGCTTATCTCTACTGATCTTTCAATGGTTTGGGGTTTTCAGGTTTAGGGCTTTGTGAGGGTTTTCGGCTTCGGACTTAAGCTTTGGGTTTTCAGAACCTTTGGGCCTTGGGGGCCCACTCATCTGGAGATCTTTCAACAAAAAGCCTTAGAGGACCTGGCAAACCCCTAGAGATGGAAGAGTGAGGGGCTTAAGGTTTGGTGTTTGGAAATCTCTCTACAAATAGAAGCTGCGAAGTTTGCTCAAGCATCTGCTGCACAAAATCAACACTCCCAGGCCTTCACACCTGTGGCAATTCCGAAGAACGAACCCGAGCCCAGAGTCAGAGTTTCAAACCCAGCTCTAAGCACTCAGTCCCATTCGCACACAGCCGTAAAAGGCATCGGCCCCCAAGACAGCCCAAATTGGCAAAATGCTCCGTCTGAATCCTTAAGCACCCCACCTTCATGCCTTCATCTAGAATACCGTCAACCACAGAAAATTGAACCCGTCAAACCCCAACTAATCATCCCAATCCTTCAACCTGAGTCCAAGCTGCATTGCGCTGGTTCAACTGGAAACGTGGGCCCACTTCTGCCATTGAGACCCTGGGAACCTGCCCGAGAATTTCGTAGGATTCTGGCAAATAATTCCGTTAGTTAAGCTAGAGGCGACTTACTTGAGCGGCATTTTCCATCTTCCTTCCGGGCAGCTTCTATCTTGCTTCGTTTTGCGTGGGCGGATGTCGTTTGAGAGTAAAAAGCCCAAAAAGGATCTTGCCATTTCCTAGCCTTGCATATGTCCCCGGACAACCTTTCGCGGGCTTTACACGTTTTGGCAAACTTTGCTTGATCGTGTTTCTTCTTGCGGCTACAGGTTTGGTGATAAGTACTGCTGGGTATGGGGCTTAGACTTAGCGCACACCAAAACCACAACCTTACACCCGAAACCTTAAACCCATAAAACTCCAAGAACTTCACTAGGTTTCTGAAACCAAGCCACATGATACAAATCTTTGTGGGCCCTACTTGGAGGGACATGGTATAAGCCATATAATAACTCCAACTATCCGCAATACTAACTTGCTTACTAAGTCCCCATGACCCTCCAAGTACCCCAACTCCCTGCAACTCCCCGAATGAACCCCAAACCCTCTCCCTCACTCCTACACATGGTGGTTTCCATAAACCAAGGGAATGTATACCCCCAATATACGTTTATCCTTGAATTTTTGGAAGCCCTAGGTCTCATAGCCCTGAAGCATGCTGCCCGCCCCCCCCAACCTGTCGGAAAGGAAGCCCGGGCAGCGCGCTGATCTCTGGCTGGCTGCTGCCTCTTTTTCAAAAATGGGGAGTACTTTTTTGGGGTTCCCCACAATACGGAGTATAGTATTTTGGGATCTATACTGGTTTCCCATAATTTTGCTCACGGATGTTTCAGTTCCCTTGTTCTACGTTTGACAGCTGAGGGGTTGGTGGTGCTAAGTCACTTGCAGAAGGCACCTGCAGAACCAGCTCTTTGGGTCAAGAGATCTTGCATCACCAAGTTGTTGAGGTTGGAGATTTTGCAGGGCCGGCCAGGGCTACATACAAATCTGATTACTTGCAGGTGGTGCATTCGATTTATGGCTGTTTTGAATAGCTTCAGTTTGCAGGTTTGGGGGCACTGTGCATTGCCACGATGCGGCTGCTTTGTCAAGAGGTTCTGAGAGTTTCAACAGTAGACAAACACTTTTTCTTCGGAAAAAGATTTCAGAAGGCGGCGCCAACCACCTTGCCCTCCACATGCTGAACGGATGTTTGAACAATCTCAACATTGGCACTTTGGCCAAGGAGTAAGTCATCCCTGGGCACCAGGACCTTTGCAAAGTTCTTGGTGCGGCCGACCGTCTGATTTCGCGCGTCGTCGGTACCAGCAAACCACACGCGCTGCGTGGTCCCCTGGAGCCGCTCATTGCGGTCGTTCCTGACTTCAGGAGTTCAGCAAATTTGACTCGGAACTTCAGCTTTGCACAGTACATTAAGCCTTCCCAACAAAACAAAAGACAACAACAAGAAGACCGGATGAAAAATTCCTAGGCTCAGGGCGTCCAGGGCACAGAGCTCCTGGTAGCGCCTCTTCGTCACAGAATGGGGCAGCTGCTTCATCTTCGCAGCTGGGGTACCAGCCCTAGCAAAATATCTAGAGGAGTAAACACCATGAAAGCGGCAGAGCCGCACCAGCTCCAAAGTAGCCTTCCAGTCCTCCTCCGTCTCAGTGGGGAAGCCGCAGATTATGTCAGTTAACAAATAGATATCAGGTATCTCGTCTCGAAGGCGGCCTACCAGGTGGAGGAAGTCTGCCACTGTGTACTTCCGCTTCATAGCTTTCAGAACAGCATCCGAACCGGACTGCACTGGGATGTGCATGAAGCTGTAGACATTTGGGCGCTTCAGTGCCTCAATGACTCCGTCCAAGTGCTCCATGATGTATGGAGGATTCCTGATCCCAGTTGGGGGGTGTGGATCTTGCCTCTCATGTATGCCCACCCATCCAACTCACAAGTTGCTCGCAATTCCCAAGTCTATATTCTGGACATTCGTAATACAACTATGAAGGGACAGGAACAGGAAATTCTTCCAAATGGCCAATGCCCTACCACACTCATGTCATTTCCTCTGAAAATGCAAATCTGATACCCGAGTATACGATAAGGAGTCCCCAAGAAAAGCGAGAAGTCCGACTACTTTGCTCTTATGCTTTCCTATCGACCTGTAAATACTACACCAAACCCTTATTTTAGGGCACGCCAAAAAAGAACCCCTAATTTTAAGAAACCCCGCACGAAGCGCTACTCATCTGCAGTCCGGATTCGTCATGCCTGTGCGCAGCATAACGCCTGGCGGCAAAGCATCAGACAGGCGGAGCAGCAGCTCTGCGATGTTGCTGCCAATATCCACACCGTAGGCTCCCATGTCCTCTGAGGCCCCATTTCCATGACCGGCGAAAGCTGGGATGGAACAGAACGCGGACTGGAAAAGCTCCCGCATTGATTTAGCTGAGGGCTCTTTTATAGAGGCTGACAGGGAACTCCAAGATTGCTAGCGCAGATCTGGAGCTGTCTCTAGCCTACTTTTGCGGAAGTCCTCTGAAGCAAGCTCAATGTGGCAGACACCCTCCTTGACTGCTTCGAGGGCACGGGCAACGATCTCCTGAATTCAGGGCTAGGACATGGAGCTCAGAGAGCTTAAAGCATGTTCTAGTGGGCATTCAAAGGTACATCAGCCTGAGCAGACCTGGCAATGTTCTGCTCAATGCTCGTCCTCAGAGCTACAAAAGCCCGCTAGGAGAGGCCACACTTGCGCACATCACACCCATCGCCATCAAGGCTCCTCGAATAATCTTACACCCTTTTCCTGGAAAATGCAGAAAGTCTCCTCCACCGAGTAGGACACCACCGTGCCGCGTGCCACCCGAGTCTTGCCTAGAACTGTGAATTCATGAGCCTTTGGAGTGTTGAGGGAACAGGGTCTGGGCTTTGATCGCAGTTCAAGGTTCACAGAGCCTTGCAACAATCAGGAGAGGACCGAGGTACCCAAGAGACTAAGGGGCAAAGTCTTTCCGGTCTGCGCTTTCAGTTGGCCAGGTTTATCCAGAATCTCTCACCCCAGAAACCTGCTATCCCTCAAATCATTGTGATCCAGAGGGCAGTAGGTGCAGAAGTTCAAGCACCCGGCATTGATGGTGATGATTTCCGTTAGACGATCCTGACGCACCTTCGGGAGGGCCAGCGATGGCAAGCCCTCCCTTTTCTTGTCCTTAGGCCGCTTGGGGCAAACGACTCCCATGCTGTTGTCAAGATTAGATTCTATGCAGGTGGTTCAAGTCTGAAGCTGATTGGCTTCGTGGCTCTGAGTTGCGGACAACGTGCACAAAGAACAAGTCTGAAAAATTGTGAACCCCTTTTAATTCAGCCATAATGCAGATCCCTGCTTCCTACAGCCACATCGACTCCACGTTTGCTTGCGGACGCAGGTGGTACAACACGCAACAAGATCCGGCTTGCTCCCACTCTACAGACAAGTCTGAAACTGTGCCTAGACACCAGCAGAGTCACCACACGCCCTCTGCTCGTTTCCTCCACCACGTCCACAATGCGATCCAGCTGAGTCACATGCAACATACTGACCTGGACGGCTTCGGCTTGATCAAGCGACGAACACTTACACGGTAGAGCTCTAGAAGCGTCTATGGCTGGACCTGGAATCTCTTGAAGACTGTGCCGACAATCTTTCAGCTTTGGCCCCGTCACGGCAACCCAGACGACACGAGTATGGGCATGTAGCAATCAGACGTAAGCACGCGATTGCCGCGACACCCTTACTGAACGATGCTCAAAGCCATACATCAGCATCTGGACCGCGTCTGTGTCCAAGCAAGGCATAGCTGTGGAATCAGTAAACACAACTCTCAAACCAAATATCTGACATCCAAGACAGCTTGTTACACAGCAACATCATGTGATCTGTTGGAAAGAGCTGCATTGAACTCCTGCTTCATGCCCCTTCTTGGGTCTCCCTTTTTATATGATAGTTGTTCGACATAAATACACCCAGATGCAAAACATACCTTGTATGCTGAGAAACTGTGAATGAGGGGATAGTCCTAGCATGATCTTCTCAAAGCTTGGGCTGCTAAAGAGTGGAGAGGATATGAGCGGATGTACGAAAACCCTATGTAGTCCCACAGAGACTTATCCATAACCCTAAACCCTAACTCCTTAACCGCAACAGAAGATGGTTTAAGTTTATCTCGGCCGCGTGGGGCAGCTTCTTGGCCAGCCGTTTGTCGCCAGAGGGAACGCAGCCAGCAAGCACGACCTTCTTTTGCATCTCTGTGGCCTTCGAAAGGACTTTGCATAATTTTCAAGGGTTGGGGGTTTTGCTTTCAAGGTTTGGGGTTTCAGAGGTTTGGGGTCTCATTTCCAGGGGTTTGGGAACCGTCTTGGCTCCAGCTGCTCTGCGTCGAGAAGTTCGAAGCTACCCCTGAAGCAGCTCACTGACTTGCATCCACTCATATATCAAAGTCATCAATTAGCGTTAATGTCTTTGCGCATTGTCTTTCGTTCTCAACATAATTGAGACAATATTGGAAAGATCTGTTATCATGTCCCGGATGATATGGGGACTACCTCCAACAGCACCTATGCTTGTCAGGCTTTGGTTACCATGGAAATCGCTGCCTGGTTCACCAAGTGCAGGCCCCTCGACTCCGATGGGGTCTTCACAGTGCAGGAGTTCACGACGCATACGTCGGACTCCTCCAGTGCACGCTTGTGCAGGGACACGTGTTTCGGAGCTTGTTTGGATCCGGCCTATGAAGACCAAGCCCTCTTGAAACAGCGAGCAGGATCACGGGCCACCAAGCTAATAATATAGTCCCCTTTGAGTAGACAGTATATGGAGTATGTGGGGATTTATTCTAATATACCCAAGGCCATATTCTATCTACTTAAGAGGGACTTTAAGTGTGCAAACGGTCACCAGGAGCAACAAAAACGCGAGTGGCAGCAGTTGTTCAGGCACTTGGGGGTCTGAAAGCCCAACAGACGGCATGTTGACCTGAATTCATGTTCTTTTAGGATGCAGACGCTTTCCGTCCTGACAGCAATCATAAAGAATATGTTCACATAAGCTGCTTCTGGCCGCATCCGTCGACCACGGGTCACAAAGTTTGAAACTCAGGCATCCTCGACTTTGTCCACCAAGGTGTAACCATAGTCGCGGAGCTGCCCAAGCATGTACTCGCCGTCCGACTGGTTGTGCTGACATCCAAACCTGGGTGCGGTTATAGGCATGAAACGCTTATATCCAAAAGTGAATAAGTGAACTCCTGGCATGTGAAATCAGTTCCATCAGTCTAGAAAGCATGAAGACTTCGTGCTGAGGGTCGGAGCTTGAGTTGGCTGAGAAGATTTGATGTAAAGCAATGCGTTGAAAAGAAGGATGCAGAATTGGTCCAGAAAAACCTCTGGAAAGAGCAGCAAGACCTAAATTCAACCCATCCATCCAAAACAATGCAGCCACAACAGCATCTCCCACGCCATTACATGGCCAAGGCACTCACATGGCTGGGATCCCAAGTAGAGTTCAGAGATACTGCAGGGACTTTTGCGCAGGATCGTCCTTTATGTCCTGAAATCTTCAACTTTCAAATCCTTCCCCTCTCTCCCTTCTTCCCATGCTCACAACCCTAAACCCTAAATCCTAAACCTTAAACCCTAAGCCCTACATCCTAAACCCCAAATCCTAAGCCCTAAATCCTAAACCCTAAACCCTAGATCCTAAACCTTAAACCCAAAGCCCCCATTTTTGTCCTGCACTCCCCTAGGGCTGCCCAGGAGCGTCTTGAGGAAGACCTTGGCTGATCCTGGCCGGGAGACTTCGGCCTGTGGCCCTCGCACCTGAAGATCTCGAGTTACAAGGGGTATATTGGGGTTATATAAGGGTCTATGGGGGGTATATAGGGGTTATGTAGGGGTTATGTAGGGGTTATATTTGGGTTATATTGGGATAATGGAAAAGAAAATGGAAACTACTATTTAGGGTTTAGGGTTTAGGGTAAAGGGGTTATATAGGGGTTATAAAGGGGTCTATAGGGGTCATATAGGGTTTATATAGGGGTTATGTAGGGGTTATATAGGGGTTATACTTGGCTTATATTGGGATAATGGAAAAGAAAATGGAAACTACCATTTAGGGTTTAAGGTTTAGGGTAAAGGGGTTATATAGGGGTTGTAAAGGGGTCTTTAGGGGTTATATAGAATTTATATAGGGGTTTATATAGGGGTTATGTAGGGGTTATATAGGGGTTATATTTGGGTTATATTGGGAGAATGGAAAGAAAATGGAAACTACTATTTAGGGTTTAAGGTTTAGGGTTTAGGGTAAAGGGGTTCTATAGGGGTTAAATAGGGGATGTATAGGGGTTGTATAAGGGTTATATAGGGGCTATATAGGGGTTGTGTAGGGTTTGGGGATATTATCCCCAATACTAGAGAATCAAATGGAAGTGAGTCTAGCGCCTGGGATACTGCCAATGAACTTAAATGGAGTCACCATGGATAGACAGCAAGTGATGGGCTTTCCCGATATTGGTCATTTAAGTTACCTGCCTTTAACATCAACCCATTTCGATGCTCCTGCAGGGCCCTCTGCATGCACAGGGATTATGAGGAGAGTATGGCTTAAGAACGCTTTAGATTTGAGAAGGTTGAGGGCTCTCAGTTTCTGGGACTTCCTTTAGCAAGCCTGTCGGGCATGGTGTTTTGAGGATTCAGTAATACAACTTATCTGACGAATCTTCAACATTGCCACTCAAGGTTCACATCTCTAAGCTCAGTTTGGAGCTCAAGGCCTTTGAAAAACGCATAGTCTTTAACTTTCGACTTCCTCTTCCATTTGATTTTCCCTTATCAGGGTAACATCCCTGAACCCAATAATGTCCCTGCATGACCCTAGATGTAGTTGTATTTCATGTTCCCTGCGCTTTACCATTTGGATGTTGCCAAACCGAACTGGAATCTTCAGGCTTCAGGACCAGGAAGTGTCTATTTGAATATGGACCTCATGGATTGAATTATCCTACCCATGCCGCCCCTGCGCCGTGCATCCCTAAACCTACAACCCAGAAGGACACTCGCACTCCCTGAAAAGATATCAAGTTACAAGTGGTATATAGGGGTTATATAGGGGTCTATGGGGTTATATAGGGTTTATATAGGGGTTATCCGTAAGTCTCAAAATCAAGGCCCCCTCATACATGCCGGAAGAGGAGCCCATGATGTTCCCGAACCCTCCTTCGAGCGCTTCACAGTAAACCCTAAACCCTAAACCCTGAACCCTAAACCCTAAACCCTGAACCCTAAACCCTAAATCCTGAACCCTAAACCCGAAACCCTATGTGGGGCTCATAGCTTAGCCCAGTGGCCGGCATCTCCGGGACTCTGACTGCTTCCTCCCAGGCCTCTTCAGCCCGGAGGTGGTGGTCGTACTGCTCTCGCGACTCCTCACATGAGTAGCGTTTTTTTTGTGGTTGAACCGAGTAAGATAATATTCCTTATATGAGATACTATACCCCAAAAGGAGGATAAAATGCTACTCACATGAACGCAGCCGACTCGTTTCTTCGTCATGTTTGGTTGGAAATTCGGGAGTGAAATATAGGTTCGGTCAGGTCTCTTACAGACATTAAGTACTTTGGGGAGTATACTGTAAGGATGCCCGCCAGCCCCGCACAACTTCCCCATGCACGAAATCATGCCTCAATCAATGTTGCCGGGTTTTTCGCCATGCGGTGTCTGATATCAGGGGAGTGGACTCAGTGCTTGCTATTCTCAGCATCGCGGTTTGGACTGGCTTCTGGGAACGGCGTCCGATACAACCTGCGGAAAAAGGAATAACTCACACCCTTAGTCAGCCCATACAACAAGCCATGAGTCATGGGTGCTGTTTGTATCACTGCCTGGGTTTAGGGTCTAGAGCTTTCCATAGGCCATATTACCAGCTGAAAACTTCTCGAGGTTCCGGGTGTAGCCCCCAACACCCTAAACCCTAAACTCTCTAAGTGCCCTATCATCCCAAAGAAGTCGATGCAACCGTTTGGGCTCTCCTCCCCTGAATTCTAACAGGCACGCTGGACACCTTCTTTTTAAAAACTAAGCCCTCCCTGTAGACCCCTACATAGTCCCAGTTTCCATAAAAGTTTCCCATGTTCCTCCCATTTGATTCTCTATTATCCCTAAACTCTGTATAACTGTATAACCCTAAACCCCAAATCCCTATAGTAGCTCACCGCTTAAGGAGTTTAGACTCTAAACCCTAAACCCAAAATCCTAAACCCTAAACCCTAAATCCTAAACCCTAAACCCTAAACCCCAAGCCCTAAACCCTAAACCCTATCTAATCATCCTTTACATATGCTTTTCAGAGTTGCTGTCGCTTAGGTCCTTCGAGCGGAGCACTGCGTACGCCTCGTCCAAGCGGGGGAGGAGCTCTGAGGATTTTGTCTCCTGCAGGTTTAGGGTTCAGGGTTCAGGGTTTAGGGTTTAGGGTTTAGGGTTTAGGGTTTAGGGTTTAGGGTTTAGGGTTTAGAGTTTAGGGTTTAGGGTTTAGGGTTTAGGCACTTCTCCCCCAAACTACTTGGAGGGTCATGAGGACTTAGTAAGTAGGTTAATAAACCCTATAAACCATGTTATAACCCCAATAATCCCTCCCCTGACCCTTCAAGTAGGCTCTTAGCTTGAGACTTGAGATGCCCAAAAGTTCTGGGTTTGGGGGGGGTCAGCTCAAAAAACACACAATGATCCCCAGCAAAGGGGTCCTGAAAGGAGCTCAAAACAACTTCACGGCCTTTGAGCAATGCCAGAAGCATCAAAAAAGCAAAGGCACCCTGCCAGCCAGAAGACCTCTCTCGTATCCTACCATAGGAACCTTCTTCCTAGGTTGGCCCCTAAAACCCATTGAAAAATATTAGTATATATGGTCCCCTATTAAAGCCATTAGGGAAAATATTAAATGTCCCAGGGGCCTACCCAGCTTCAGGGGCTCAACAAAACCCTGAAGGGCAACATGATTTAGGCTACAATGGTCCTGGGCGAAGGACACCGCCCGGTTGTAAGCTGCCTGGATTTCCTGCTGATCATTTGCAAAGCACACACTTGCTGACTTACTTGACATTCCTCTACTTACGGTCATTAAGGTTATATAGAGGTTAGACAAGGGTGACATGGGTACATAAGGGTTATAGGTTATAGGGGTTATGCAAAGGTTATATAGGGATTATATAGACATCCCTCTACTTACTGTCATTTCCTGCGATGACCCGCAGCAGACTGCGCAGGGCTCGACGTAAGCATCTTGGACCCAGACATGTGCAGTGCTGAGCTGGGGATGTAAACCTTACACAACATATTTGGGGTCGTATAGGGTTATATAGGGTTATATAGGGATATATAGGGATATAAAGGAGTTCATATAGGGTTACTTAAGGTCATATAGGGTTATATAAAGGGCTATATATATATATATAGGGATATATAGGGATATAATGGAGTCATGTAGGTTATATAGGGTTATGTGGGGATATATGGGGATATAATGGAGTCATGTAGGGTTATATAGGGATATACAGGGGTTATATAAGGATGTAAACCTTACACCACATATTTTGTTACAAGAACTTGAGAGCTTCCACCACCTGTTGGCTCCTGCATGCTCCGGCTGCTACCAACTATATAGAAAAAAAAGTGCATCTTGTGACCCAGGGCTCCCTAACCACACAAACTGTGAAGATTTCAAGTTTGACTCTGACTTCCGCTCAAGCCAGCACCTGCTGGTCGGAGGCGTGGCGAGGGAGGCCCAGAAGCCCGTAATGGTCTGCAGAAGCACGGCCTCACATCATGACATTGAAGCTATCAACTTCACAGCCACCCGACGTAAAGAGTTAGCTGTTAGGTCCTTCCTGCAAATTATCCTAAACCGATCCCTGGCCGCCGGGTGACTCGCCACACCACGGCCTCGTGCACTTCTCAGCCCCCGGGAGGCCACCAGCGGTGCCGCTGCAAAGCTCAAACAGAATGCCCGGAGTCCTGCGGCAACAGGTTTGCGCAAGCTGTTTTAAGAGCACAGGGATATGGGGGGGTGGTCGTGGAAATTCTGTAGCTTATGCGTCACCATTGTCGAAGCTGAACTTACGCGCTGTCAGTGTGAATTAAAGACTACTTCGAACATAACTGAGAAG